GACCATATTAATTAATGGAGTTTGTTCATGGAGACTGAAAATGCCTTTTGATAAGTCTTTTGTTCATAGCTGCGTGTTTTGAACAAAGGCTTAGATAAAAGCATATTTGATATGCAGACAAGTGTTTGAAAAGGGCTCGCCATAGAAAGGAAATGAAAAAGGAGTGAATAGGGGGAAAAAACTTCAAAGATCTAGATGAAACTGACAATTTGTTTTGTTTATGTGAAAAACGATGAAATGAACTGCAGATGGAGAGATATATGTTCGGGGGAATTGAATTCATAGGATGGATAATATGATATATATATACAGGCTTTTAAAATTGTAATAATGCACCAAACAGAATCTGAAAGAAGCACATGTGTTATGTGGTCATGTGGTATCCACCTACCTCCACAATTGTGATCTTGGCTGCCTTGCACATGGGCTGGTTGAAGTTTCGTGCTGTTTTCCTGATAAAAAAAAGGTACATGCTCAGCATTAAATCTGTAAAACTGTCTTCAAACATCCAGAACTGAGGTGAAATGTTATATATGAAAGACTGGAATGTCCTTTCCTCTATTTACGAGCCACTGGTATAGTGAAATAAGCCAGAATGACAAGCTATAAAAATCAGTTTGACTACAGTCAAAAACAACTATTGTCAAGTCATCATCCATAGTGGTGTCCTCATGCTAAAAACAAATTTAACAAGAGCAGAACAAAAAGTACATTCATTTCTTATGGAATTGTGCACCCTGGTGGTAAAACAAGATGCTATACAAAATTATGTAACATTGGAAATGTGAATGTTTTCAAATGCAATATAACAGGATTTTACCACACACGGCTATTTGTATTACACTAATTTATACTATATACTATAATTCTTTAATATGGCAACATGCCTTTTGTGTTTTTATTTTAACATTTTATAACATTTGTTAATGTATTTTATACATACACTACCGTTCAAAAGTTTGGGGTCAGTAAGATTTTTATTTCTCTCTATTCATTAAAGAATCGTGAAAAAAATGCATGATGGTTTCCACAAATCTTTTAAGCAGGTTTAACTCTTTTCAACATTGATAATAATAAGAAACGTTTCTTGAGCACCAAATCAGCATATTAGAATGATTTCTGAAAGAACATGTGACACTGAAGACTGGAGTAATGACTGCTGAACATTCAGCTTTACCTTTAGGAATAAATTACATTTTAAAATATATTAAAATAGAAAAGATATTTTACACTGTCATAATATTTCACAATATTACTGTATTTTTGATCAAATAAATGCAGCTTTGTTAAGCAGAAGTCCTCTGAATAGCAGTGCATTTAAAAAGAATATTTAAAAATACTACTATTCCATTCTTTTAAGTATTTTAGTACTATTTTTAGAACATTATTCTCTGTGGGTTGTATAATGAATAAAATGACTGGGTTTGAAATTAGTCATTTTAAGAGTTTGCGTTGTCTACTGTTTAAAATTTAATCGAAAATAAGGTACCGTTTATGTCTCCTTTTTAAAAAGTGTTTCATGTGGCCTTCCTTTCAGTGACACAGTCTGTGGGATTGTGCTAAATGAAAACAAAAAGGTGAGAGAAAATGGCTATTTTCAGTTTGGGCAAAACACCAACCACACCAGTGAACATGTGACACTGTGCAGTTAAGGAAAACTGTCTAAGTCTGTCTAAAGTAGGTCTGAAGAACCTGAAAAAAAAATAGACACTTGTACCTGAAGATGACATTCCCAGCTTTGTCTGCTTTCCAGGCTTTGACCAGTGCAAAGTCACCCGTAATGGATTTTTCCATGATATAGTGCCGGCCATTAAATTCACGCACCTGAAATACAACATAGAAATCAATATAAATACTAAATCTATTTTTACTGATCACACTTCAGATATTAATAGTGATCAAACTTCATCTGCAGAGACATGAGCTGTATTATTGCATCAGTCAGTAAGACTGGAAGATAAAAGCAGTAGCTCTGACCTCTCTGGATTCACTTGCAATGGCAATGGTACCATCCTTGTTGTATTTGATAGGCGAGCCTCCCTCTTGGATGAGTGTGCCATAGCCTGTGGCAGTGAAGAAGGCAGGCACGCCTGCGCCTCCGGCCCTGATCCGCTCTGCTAGTGTGCCCTGCCATCAACACAGTACAATGGGTAAACAAAATCCACCTGATTGAATCTTTTTGGAAGAATGGTACTATAAAATCTTTAGCATGCATTTACTTGGCAATAAACTTGCCATTGAGAACAAAGACGAAGTGTTTATTCTGAAGGTTTTGGTCTCACCTGTGGGGTCAATTCCACCTCCAGCTCACCACTGAGATACTGCCTCTCAAACTCCACATTCTCCCCCACATATGATGAGATCATACGCTTGATCTGTTTGGTCTGAAGGAGTAGGCCCAGGCCAAAGTCATCAACTCTGTGTAAACCATACAGAAAATCAAAAAATACAACCAAATATGTCCTCATGCAATATATTTCAAACCAATTCAGTGCATACATAACTAATTTCTGTTATTATTTCCTTCTAGTGTTTGCCTTAAGCACACAACAAGACTGTAAAAATGTTCATTCTTTATGGATGACCATTCAAATGTAAACATGTTAAATAAATAGTCAAAAATGGACTAGATATTTTTCCTTGTCTGCTACCTTTGACGTTATAGATCAGGATAGTCACTAGTAAAGAGAACATGTGAGGTCGCAACATTGTTTGAAATTGGACAAAGGTAGGAGGAGAGAAAATACCTTTGAGGACGAATTTAATCAATAACCAATTAGCCTCATCCTGGAAAACCCATTTCATGCAACGTGTCGTTTCAACAAAATTTGGGGGAAAAAAAACCTGATCGGTTCCTTTATAACTGATGACACTAGCAAATATGGCCTTGTTTGAACCAACTGCCCTTGAATCCCACAATGCTCTGGGCCTCATTGTACTTGCAATAACAGGATAACTGGAATATGCCACGGATCTGCTGTGCAAGTTTGTGTCGCCTGGCAACCGACTGGCCGAATCGATTTCTCCTGCTTTATTATTGTTTTTTGGCAATCGGCATTTCCTTTGGTTAATGCTAATGATAATTTCTTTTCAGTTCATTAGGAAAATAGCAGCTTTATGGACACACAGCTATCAGATATCCTGTTAATTAGGACGCTGTGACGTGCTGTCTGTTTTATAACGAGAGGAAATAAGGCGGCAGTTTCCTCCAGTGGCATCAGTATTTCCAGCGCCTGGCTCTGACAGGCAACTGGAACGCTTCACTCGAAACACTGAGCCATTGACAAGCCTCATCAGCCAGCCAATTGATAGGAAATAATTTAACATGGCTACTGCTTTTGGCAGATTATTACTGGATGATCATAAAACACTGTCTCCCTTCCACGCAGCTAAATATGGCCTCAGCTATTTAAGAGTGAAAAATCAGATGTCAGAAAGTAAAAGAAATGCTGAAGCTTTAAAATATCACGCACTCCACAGCCAAATAATATATGCAAACACGGCAGGGGGGTACAGGTGAAGGGCCAAAGGAATTCCCAGTCTCTTTGAAGTAAAGCATGGGACAGAGCTTACGCTGGTTCCAATCAAGCACAAGAGACCATAATAAGCTTATAAAGGACTGTAAGGATGATTCACATCATCATCTTCAAATAACAGGATAGTTCTGTCTGGGAAAAGAGATGCACTTGCACTTCCACGCAATATCCACAAAAGTGGGTCACAACCACTATGCTCTCAAAAAGCTTTTGCACAAAATCTCCACTACATGCATTTGGTCTAAAGTTTTAACTAGGAATGTCAATCAATTAGATTTTTAATTTAAAATGATAAACGCCTTCACTGTCACATTTGATCAATTTAATGCATGCTTAGTGAATAAAAGTAATTCTGACCCCAAAATGAACGGTACTGTATAAATACAACGCATAAGTATAAAATCCCCAAGTTCATCTTTTAAAACATTTGAGACAGACACCTGTAGTAAACCAGATGACTGTTTTCCTTCCTCATCCCCAGACAACAGTGATGGCAGCGCGTGGCATGAGTCAATCTTTATTCTGAGTCCCTGCTGCAAAAGCTGAAGGGTTGCTGCCACAAATAACATCTTAACCAGTCAAATGGAGGCAGAATGCAAGATACACACTGTTGCTCAGCACTCAGCTGACTGATTCATTCTCCTAGCACGACGACTTTCATCACCAGATGCACAAACACTGAAAAAGGCCTTTAACCATTACTGTGTGTTCAGTAAACTGATAAGCTTATCTTTAGTGGGACTGCAATAATCGTATTGTCAGATGATACTGGCCACTAATAACTGCTCATACTGCTGTACAGCCACAATAAAGATCGCAAACCAGAAAAATAAATGCTCTAATGTGCTGATGGCATCCGACATGATTGCTGCAGAAGACAATTAAACAATATGAGTGAGCTAAAAGTCTTCCTTCCTGATGATACTACTAGTAATGGCTTGATTGGTATACAGATTGTGAAGGGTGAAAACTAGGTACAGAAGTGTCTACACAAAGGGTTTGAATTCAGTTATTGCTACACATTGTAAACCATTTCAAACCAGAGCTGCAAGAGAAAGAACGGGATGCTGGAAGACCATATTAATTAATGGAGTTTGTTCATGGAGACTGAAAATGCCTTTTGATAAGTCTTTTGTTCATAGCTGCGTGTTTTGAACAAAGGCTTAGATAAAAGCATATTTGATATGCAGACAAGTGTTTGAAAAGGGCTCGCCATAGAAAGGAAATGAAAAAGGAGTGAATAGGGGGAAAAAACTTCAAAGATCTAGATGAAACTGACAATTTGTTTTGTTTATGTGAAAAACGATGAAATGAACTGCAGATGGAGAGATATATGTTCGGGGGAATTGAATTCATAGGATGGATAATATGATATATATATACAGGCTTTTAAAATTGTAATAATGCACCAAACAGAATCTGAAAGAAGCACATGTGTTATGTGGTCATGTGGTATCCACCTACCTCCACAATTGTGATCTTGGCTGCCTTGCACATGGGCTGGTTGAAGTTTCGTGCTGTTTTCCTGATAAAAAAAAGGTACATGCTCAGCATTAAATCTGTAAAACTGTCTTCAAACATCCAGAACTGAGGTGAAATGTTATATATGAAAGACTGGAATGTCCTTTCCTCTATTTACGAGCCACTGGTATAGTGAAATAAGCCAGAATGACAAGCTATAAAAATCAGTTTGACTACAGTCAAAAACAACTATTGTCAAGTCATCATCCATAGTGGTGTCCTCATGCTAAAAACAAATTTAACAAGAGCAGAACAAAAAGTACATTCATTTCTTATGGAATTGTGCACCCTGGTGGTAAAACAAGATGCTATACAAAATTATGTAACATTGGAAATGTGAATGTTTTCAAATGCAATATAACAGGATTTTACCACACACGGCTATTTGTATTACACTAATTTATACTATATACTATAATTCTTTAATATGGCAACATGCCTTTTGTGTTTTTATTTTAACATTTTATAACATTTGTTAATGTATTTTATACATACACTACCGTTCAAAAGTTTGGGGTCAGTAAGATTTTTATTTCTCTCTATTCATTAAAGAATCGTGAAAAAAATGCATGATGGTTTCCACAAATCTTTTAAGCAGGTTTAACTCTTTTCAACATTGATAATAATAAGAAACGTTTCTTGAGCACCAAATCAGCATATTAGAATGATTTCTGAAAGAACATGTGACACTGAAGACTGGAGTAATGACTGCTGAACATTCAGCTTTACCTTTAGGAATAAATTACATTTTAAAATATATTAAAATAGAAAAGATATTTTACACTGTCATAATATTTCACAATATTACTGTATTTTTGATCAAATAAATGCAGCTTTGTTAAGCAGAAGTCCTCTGAATAGCAGTGCATTTAAAAAGAATATTTAAAAATACTACTATTCCATTCTTTTAAGTATTTTAGTACTATTTTTAGAACATTATTCTCTGTGGGTTGTATAATGAATAAAATGACTGGGTTTGAAATTAGTCATTTTAAGAGTTTGCGTTGTCTACTGTTTAAAATTTAATCGAAAATAAGGTACCGTTTATGTCTCCTTTTTAAAAAGTGTTTCATGTGGCCTTCCTTTCAGTGACACAGTCTGTGGGATTGTGCTAAATGAAAACAAAAAGGTGAGAGAAAATGGCTATTTTCAGTTTGGGCAAAACACCAACCACACCAGTGAACATGTGACACTGTGCAGTTAAGGAAAACTGTCTAAGTCTGTCTAAAGTAGGTCTGAAGAACCTGAAAAAAAAATAGACACTTGTACCTGAAGATGACATTCCCAGCTTTGTCTGCTTTCCAGGCTTTGACCAGTGCAAAGTCACCCGTAATGGATTTTTCCATGATATAGTGCCGGCCATTAAATTCACGCACCTGAAATACAACATAGAAATCAATATAAATACTAAATCTATTTTTACTGATCACACTTCAGATATTAATAGTGATCAAACTTCATCTGCAGAGACATGAGCTGTATTATTGCATCAGTCAGTAAGACTGGAAGATAAAAGCAGTAGCTCTGACCTCTCTGGATTCACTTGCGATGGCAATGGTACCATCCTTGTTGTATTTGATAGGCGAGCCTCCCTCTTGGATGAGTGTGCCATAGCCTGTGGCAGTGAAGAAGGCAGGCACGCCTGCGCCTCCGGCCCTGATCCGCTCTGCTAGTGTGCCCTGCCATCAACACAGTACAATGGGTAAACAAAATCCACCTGATTGAATCTTTTTGGAAGAATGGTACTATAAAATCTTTAGCATGCATTTACTTGGCAATAAACTTGCCATTGAGAACAAAGACGAAGTGTTTATTCTGAAGGTTTTGGTCTCACCTGTGGGGTCAATTCCACCTCCAGCTCACCACTGAGATACTGCCTCTCAAACTCCACATTCTCACCCACATATGATGAGATCATACGCTTGATCTGTTTGGTCTGAAGGAGTAGGCCCAGGCCAAAGTCATCAACTCTGTGTAAACCATACAGAAAATCAAAAAATACAACCAAATATGTCCTCATGCAATATATTTCAAACCAATTCAGTGCATACATAACTAATTTCTGTTATTATTTCCTTCTAGTGTTTGCCTTAAGCACACAACAAGACTGTAAAAATGTTCATTCTTTATGGATGACCATTCAAATGTAAACATGTTAAATAAATAGTCAAAAATGGACTAGATATTTTTCCTTGTCTGCTACCTTTGACGTTATAGATCAGGATAGTCACTAGTAAAGAGAACATGTGAGGTCGCAACATTGCAATGTCATTGTCTTGCAGCTCTAGAGTGAGTATTCACATGGCATTCATAGCTCAAGGTGATTGGCTCAATACAACCTGACTACAAAACTGAGTGACCATGGGCAAAAATGGTAAAATATTTTACAAAAGTTTGGAAATATTATGATTTTTAAATGTTTTAAGTCACTTATACTCACAGAGGCTGCATTTATGTGCTCAAAAATCCAGCAAACAGTAATATTGTGAAATAGACTATTTAAAATATCTGTTTTCTATTGTTGTCTATTTTAAAATATAATTTATTTCTGTGATGCAAAGCTGAATTTTCAGCAGTCATTACTCCAGTCTTCAGTGCCACATGATCCTTCAGAAATCATCCTAATATGCTGATTCTGTGCTCAATAAACATTTCTGATTATTATCAATGTTGACAGTTTTGCTGCTTAATATTTTTTTGTGGAAAGAGTGATGCATTTTTTCCAGGATTCTTTGATAAAGAGAAAGTTCAAAAGAATATGATTTATTAAAATAGTTTTTTTTTGTAAGCTTAATAAATGTATTTTGTCATTTTATTAAATTAAATGTATTCTTCCTTGCTGAATAAAAGAATGAATTTATTTTGACAAATCAATCAATCAATCAATCTTGCTGACCCCAAACCTTTGAAAACTAGGTTTGAATTTATAGTTGCATTCTTTCAGTAACAAATCCAGACGGTTAGGCACACCACCCTCAGATACTGTCTTAACAGCAAAGCCACAAATAAACATTTCCAGAAAACCAATGTCTAATTTAGGCTGAACTATTAATGGAAAAAGATTGCCTAAACAGGTCTAAATCCAGTGTCCAATGGGCATTCTGTAACAAACAGTTCATTAAAATTCTAAACACGCAGAGAATACAGAGACAAAGGCCGCACAACTCATTTTTATAGCATAAAACATGAAACATTTTACAGATCTGTCGGACCTCCTTAGTTTGATGTGTGTGGAGGCTTGGCACAGTTACAGGAGCAGTGACTCAAAACTGATTTTGTCACTCAATAACTAATGGCAAAATGACTTATTATGACTTACTGAGACTTGAAAGGCACTGAGGTATAAAAATGTTGGCCATCCCATTTTAAAGGTAGTCAGTGCAGTAGAGCAGATCTGGACATTTTTACACTGTTAATACCAAAGGTGTTCTGGTGAAACACGAGGGGGAACTTTTTGATCAAAGTTAATGCAGGCGTTTTATAAGCTCATGCATATTTTTAGGATCATTCAATCAACAGGCTCTTCATGTCACGACTCATTCCCTGGACCGGGAAAGGTTGCAATTAGACACATACTGTGTCATGCCATGTTCTCATTAACTCTCTTCTAATGTGTCTTCTTCACTTTTTCTACTGCCAGAGAAACGACAAAGGCTTTTTAGTGCTTGAACTTAAACTAGTTTTGAGAGAAAGGATAAAACAAGCCACTATCTAGGTCATATGTGCTTAGAATTTACTGAGGTAAAACCACTTGATTTCTGAATTTAATAAAAAGCACAATAACATAACTAGTGCAAGTTAATATTGAGTCACTTACATTTTAGACAACATTGCCAGTTCCTTATACAGCTCTGCCAGTGGAAAAAGTTCAAAATTAAATTAAATGAATGATTCACTCATAAAGACAGGCTGTGCATAAAATCGCCCCCATACCCATATATAGTGCACTATTTGAGGGGATATTATTGAGTCATTCAATCCCATAATACACCACATTAATAACTGATGTAAACTCAACAACTAGCTGCTAATTCATAGGGATGCACCGGAATGAACATTCTTGGCCAAAGCTGAAACCGAACAAAATTAAACACTGGGCCGAAGGCTGAATACCGAACACGGTTTTTCAAGTTTTTTTCCCGCATGTATTTTGCCAATTTTTTTTCACCATTGCATAAATTAAAAAGTCAAAATGTGCTTTTTACTGTTTTGTCTTGCTTTTCAAAGAAAAAAAATCAATTACAAAACAACAATTTAAAAATATTTAATACTGAACATTTTTAACATTCTAGCACAGTGTTTCCCAACCGGGGTGCCGTCTGTCGAGAGCAGGGGTGCCGTGTAAAAAAAATCTATTTTTAAATTGCTAAAATGTTCAAAAAATGCATCTATTATATAATATCCATTTCTGATGTCGCCAATAATTAGTGATGATGCACCGAAATTCCGGCTGCCGAAAAGGAGTTCACCGCTCAGGTTTCACTTTCAGATGGTGTGACGCTCTGCGTATTATCCCGCTCTATGCGTGTGTGCTCCGCTCAGTCGCTCCACTCGTATACCGTTCATGCTCATCGGAACAGCAAAGTCCGCTCAAAAATTGAGCCGACAGGAAACATCGATGTAGTACAGTATTGTTTCTGTCTGCAATAGCCCTACTGTGTTGTAACATGGTGTGGTATATGGGCATCTCTAGTAACGCTGCCCTCTCATTCATTGATCTGCTAACCGCTATGTTATGCTCACGTGTCCTCTGATAATACTAGCTTTCTAGAACTAAACATTATTTGGATAATTGGTAAAAACAATACTAACATTTATGAATGTTGATAAGAGTTCTTGCGTTTTCTCAACTTTTGTTTTGGCGGAAACGCGCAGGAAGACCTCAATACTTATTTTTGTTGACAGCAGATTTATAAATGAGTGTCATTACGAATAAGTCGTACGTATCGCATTGTCACATGCCTTGTAAAAATTCATAAAAATGTGACTGAGCAACTGACGACTGTATCAGCGCAGATTTTAAGGCCATTTCGCGATTTCAATCATCATACAGTAACCAGCAACAATCACCCCTTCCTCTTCTCATCCAAGACATGCGATGCAGTACTAAACAGTCTCTCGCTGTCGGTGCTTGTAATGATTTTTGCGTCTTTCTCCGACAGTTTCAAATGCTTCCACACTGCTGACATGTTTGTTACATTATAAAGAGCAGTGTTGGGGAAAGTTACTTTTAAAAGTAATGCATTACAATATTGCATTACTCCATAAAAAAGTTACTAATTACGGTACTTAGTTACTTTTTATGGAAAGTAATGAGTTACGTTACTTTTGCATTACTTTTAAAATCTGGACAGGGCTTTGTTTGTTTGTTTTTAAAATAAAAAAGTTATATTTTTGGCAAATATAAAAGCCTTTTCACACCAAAAGTGAAATGAAAAAGCCTCAGGCTCAAGGGAAAGTAAATTTACGTCCGTACAGTAGAATGCAGAAGAAGAAATTTCATCACACTTCAGCAATAAAAAAAGACACACAAATGTTTGTCTAGAGTAATTTTGGCTTATTAGTATGGTTGAACTGGATCATCGAAGGTCAGAAGCAATGACATTGGTTAATAGAATGGGATTAAATACATAAAGGATATTTGTGTTGTTTAACGTTTAATTATTGCAGGTTTGCATCATATTCTGAGTTGCATTATTTTTATTCATTTTGAGGAATA